ACTTACCTGAGCAGAGGAGGACAGTAGAAGCCAAGAGGAAACAGACGGAAGAGAACATGTGTACTCCATGAAAAAAAGAGAAGACAGGAAACCAGCAAACCTGGCCATCTTAGGGTTATTACTGCTGTGACAAAACACCATGACCAAAGCAGTTTGGGTAAGAAAGGGTGCATTTAGCTCACACTTTCATATGACTGTTCCCCACTGAAGGAAGTCAGAGCAGGAACTCAAACTGGGCAGGGTCCTGAAGGAAGGAACTGAGGCCGAGACCATGGAAAGCTGCTGCTTACTGACTTGCTCCCATGGCTTGCTCAGACTGTTTTCTTGTAGAACCAAAGACTACCATCCCAGGGATGATCCCATCTGCAGTGGGCAGGGTTCTCCTCTATCTATCACTAGTTAAGAAAATGCCCAGCAGATTTACCTACAGACTGACTTACTGAGGCATTCTCAATTGAGGATCCCTCTCCTCCGATGACTCTAGGTTGTGTCAAGTTGGTATAAAACTAGCTAGCACACTGCCTAAGAATAGAAAGGAACCCAACAGTACAGAACTGAAAGCAAGGCCACGGTATGAAATCAGGTCTACAAGCACAGCAACACCAAACAGCAGGAAGGAACCAGGCAGAAGGAGGTCTGTCTAAAGGCACAGTGAGTGTGTTATAGTAAGCAGTATGATCACCACTAAGAAAAATAATGCGAGTATCAGAAAATAAAGAAAACATGAACCTGGCAAAGCAAAATAATCTTTCCTGTCTTTTAACCTAGGAGTCAAACAGAAACAAAAAGAAAATATAGCTATTTACCTAATGAGTTTGAATATATTCATTCATTAATTACATATATACATAAAATGGCATACAAGGATATACTAATTACTAATACAAAGCTATACCTAAGTAAAAATTATGAAAAATTAAAAGCTGATTCTGTTTTGCAAGTTTTTAATCTGATTAACAGGCCAAACAATGGTGATACCAAAAACAGTATAACAAAAGAAATGAAAACCCATCACAAGCTGTGAGTGGTTCAAGGGTTCCAACTGATTCAACACTGTAAATAAACACAACAATAACATTACAAAATAGAAGGCAGAAAGTGCTGTGAGAGGTTTCATCTACAGAAAGCTCCTGGAGCTTAAAGAACAAACCTGTCTCTAAAGTAGCTCGTGGTTTAGGAGAGAGAGAAAAAAAAAAAAAAAACAAACCACAAGTTGGCAGGTATTCAAAGGACAGTGACAGGGCTAATTATACTAAAGTGCTTTTGCAGCATAGAGCAAAGCAAGTCTCTAGCTGATGGGGAGCATGGACATCCTCAAAAGGGAAACCAAATTCAGCCTGCTATACATGGCAAAAGCTAGAGAAGAAGACCCTAGTCTGCCATGCATGTGAAAAGTTAAGAGGAGGAGACTCCGGAGACCCAGCCACCATGCATGCGGAAAGGCCAGAGGAGACCTCAACCTGCCATATGTGGAAGGGCCAGAGAAGAAGACCTCAAGTCACCAAGCATGAAAAGGGTAGAGAAGGAGACCCCAACCCGCCAAACTGGGAAAAGGTCAGAGAAGAAGACCCAAGCACACCATGCATGGCAAAGGCCAGAGAAGGAGACCCCAGCCTGCCATGCATAGCAAAGGCCAGAAAAGGAGTGGCATAGAGAGTGACATGGGCAATGGTAGGAGCTGATGCATTATTCAAATTAAAGCCCATTTGCTCCAAAAGATAAAAGTCACATCAACTACACAAATAGTTGGGAGGCCAAAACTGAGACAGTTTTGTAAAAATCTACACACAGTAAGATCAAGCAAGCAGCTAGACAGATGTCACTGAATGGGATGATGATGATGATTATTATTATGGCCCCCAACTATTCTAAAGACCAGGCTGGTTTCTCAAGTGCTGGGAGTAAAGGTGCGTACCACCAGGCCTAGCACTCAAAGGGTCTTATTGGAAGGACAGAAGAAAAGTCCATCTTCCTTAACGATTTATGTGCCTTGGGGAATACCCAGAATCCGAGAGAGAATCTGTGCACTGATGCTTTTTGTTATCTTGAGAAACTGGTTCAACTCTCATCAAGAATTCACATGTAAAATCAAAAGCAGAAGAAGCTGTTTTGGTTCCGCAGTAGGTAGGGCTCCGATTTTGAAAACTTCTCAATAAGCTGCCCTCTCAAGGCCCGGGCATGCTAGCCTTGGCCATAGACTTTAGCTTACATACTCACAAGACTGCCACTCTGAACAGCAAAACTGACAAGAAAGCACACATCATGCTCTTTCTTACTTAAATTTGGTGAAATTTTGGGGCACAATTAATGCAAGACCAATTTTTACCTCTGTTTCTCCATAAAAAACTCTCTTTACTAATATACTTAGAGGGAAAAGACTTGATCAATTTCTGAGATTATCTGTCATATTAGCAACTGCTACGTTCAGGTAACTGAGAAGTCATAACTATACCTAAAATATGATAAAAGGTTTAGGATAAATAACTTCTAGTAGGAAATAAAATCCTTTGTAGTGGTTTAACCACCAATTAAGTCATAAAATGTCCAAGAAAAGCCCAAAAAAGCAACACATTTCAATGACTCCAAGCAGTCGTGCAAGAACTATTTTTAACTACTTATTTGAAAAGTACCGCAATGACAAATAATTCCTATCAATTATCATGTTCATTGGTTGGATAACCTTGGCAGAGGAAAGAATCAACTGAGTTGCCAGCCTCTAACTGTGTGTGACCTGGATCATTCTGTGCCTCATTCCTTAATGGTTAAATTTGGATACTGTGTGCCTGCTCCTTGCAACTTCTCTTGTAAAGACTGAAGAAAAGACAAGTGAGGTAACACGAGAATGCTTTAGGCTGGAAGAGAGGTGGCTGAAGGCCAGGCGTCAACAACCTTTGTAAGCACACGAGTGTCTGGGAAGGATGGGTACCTACCTGCCTTGCTGCTACTCTGCATGGGCAGTAGGTTCTGTCAGGCAGCACCAGGGTCTCCAGAATGACACACAACTTGTGTCCCAGAATGTGTTACTGGCAACGACTTGCCTCCCACACCCACAGCATGATTCTGCATTTCCCTTTCTTTTCTTTTCTAAATCAGATACTTGGCACAGACCTCCTCAATTAATCCCCTTTTTACTTGTATGTCTGCACCAAGTCCCAGTGCCATCATTCTCAACAAATGCTCCCAAAAGGAAGAGAATGCAACTGGAATGCAAATAAGGTCATTCTGCTCTTCTGCTTTGACGCACTGGTGCCTTCTATCACTAACTCAATCCACAGTATAAAGGCTACACATGTTAGTTGAGCTGCAAGGCTCTGCAGTGTGGCTCTTTCTACCCTTCAACCCTTATGTCTCATTGCTCCACGAATCATAGCCCGGCAGGCAGCTATGCTTATCTCCATTGGCCATATAATCCATGGCTGACTGTTAGAAAATGTCTCTCAGGCCCTCAATTTCTGAACCCTTTTCTATTCCAGCTTCTGTGTGGTCACTGTGCCTAGTATATACTTGCAGGCTGCACTAATCACAGTGTTAGTAAAGTCCTATGTCCTTTCTACCAGCCAGAGTTCTACAGCATCAAGAGTCATCTGGATACTTCCACCTACATCCCAGACTCTAGATTTGTAGCAGGCTCACAATAGTCATCTGTCAAACCACAGTTCCAACTATAATTACAAGTTCATTTGATTTCATTATCAAGACAAGATTTACTATGTATAAGACTTTGCTCTAAAATTATTTATTATTTTATGTGTGTAAGCATTATGTCTGCATGTAATATCTGTGCACTTTGTACCTTCCTGATACCCAAGGAGGCCAGAAGAAAGTGTCAGTTCCCAAGGAAGTGGGGCTACAAATGGTTGTGAGTCATCTTCTGGGTGTTGGGACTCAAACCTGGGTCCTCTGCGAAAGTAACAAGTGTTTTTTAACTATTGAGCTGTCTCTCCAGTCCAAAACTTACTTTTTAAGGAATTATAATGTATGTTAGATGTGTAGCCTAGGCTGGCCTTGAACTCATGATCCTCCTACCTCTGCCTCCTTCAACAAATCCTACCAGCATGCACCCCTACAATCGGCAGTTACTTTTTAAGCATGTATGTTACATGTGGGGGAGAGGAGAGGGGGAACAGGAGGAGGCAAGAGAGTGGGAAACTGTGGTTGGTATGTAAAATGAATAAAAAGAAAAAAAAAAACGCAAAAAAAGGCATGTCAGATGATACCCGTGTGGAGGTCAGAAGGCAGCTTGTGGGAACTTGTCCTTCTCCCACCGTGTGGGTTCTGGGGACTGAACTCAGCTTGCCAGACTTGGTGGGAAGTCCTTTTATCTGCTGAGTCTTATTGGTATTTTTTCTTTTCTTTTTTTTTTTTTTGGAGATAGGGTCTCACTCTATAGCCCAGTCTGGCTGGGAACTCACTATGTAGCCCAGGCTGGCCTCAAACTGATGGTGATATTCATAATTCAACCCCCAGAATGCCACAGTATAAATGGAATTTACCATATCCAGCAAGAATCTTACATTCTAATGATTGAAAAAAATTTAGAGAACACACATTCCAATAAAATTATAAGCTGTGATTATATCATGAAGGAAATAAGAAACAATTGCTGGGATGAGAAGCAGGGATCTAGCTTAGATGAAGTAGGCAGGAAAGACCTTTCTACAGAGATCATGTTATGTGAGACTTAACTGAGGCTGATCCATTATATAAAGGGTTGGCAGAGAGCATGAAAGCAGGGCAGCACAGGCCAAGGCTGTAGATGGAGATGAAGTGGCAGCTTTTCGGTTGGAGGGCCACAAGAGGGAAAAATCATTTCTCTACAACGGCTATCTGGTGAAACCGGAAGAGTGATCGTGTGGGTGCTGTTGAGAATGAGGAGTCTACATTTTATTCCAAGTGCAGTAGGAAACCATCTGAAAGGTTACCACTGGTTAAGGTGATCTAAACAACTCTTTCAAGTAGGCCAGGATGACTTTTCAGCCAAGATCATGCAAAGGCTATACCTCTGCCTGCCAGGCCAGTGTAGAAGCGGAGAGTGCAGATGTCCGGCCAGCTCCCAGGACAGCGATTGTTTCCCCATCATCATCCACCACTTTGAAGTCAAGATCCTCATTGTATCTCCTGCGCTTTACTTGTCGTCCGGAGCGCCGTTTCTGCAGAACAAGCACACTTATCAGCGTGGCTGTGGGTCAAAATGAAAACTCTCCAAAGTAATAGTTATCTACACCTAGTGACAGGCCAACCACAATTTCCTCAACTTCCAAAAGGAATCTTGTACTTTTTTAAGAACTAATATCATAGAGCATGAGACCTAGCTAGGTGAGAGAGAAAGTGATGGTGTAATCTCTGAATTGCCTGATCCACTAAAAGATGTGTTTTAGTAATCAATGAACAGCAGTGGTGTTTTTTTCTTCCTTTCTGGGGCATCTAGTCCTAAGCAACAGGGATGGGAGGTAATCTTTGAATTCTGTCTTTGAGGTCCACTCAGATTTTCTAGTTTTTATTTACTGTTTTTTTCAAATTCACTTAGCCACCAACTCCTAAGAATGTAGTGTGAGAAAATTAATACAGATTTTATTGGGATCTAGAGTGAGACTCTCATACAGTTAAAACAGGGAGATATCTTCAGTGTGACAAAATAACAAGTCAGATGGAAAGAGGCGTCCCTTAACAAGCAGCTTAGAACTGCTAGGCAGCACACACAGTAAGCAGTGCAGTGATGCCCAGCCCCACCTACCACTGGCTCCAAGCAGCAGAAACATTTTAGGGAACTAGTCACAGGGAGCACGTCCCCATATACTTAATCTTAAATACAACAGTCCAAACAAAACAAGTAGAACCTCAGTTCCTTTTTCTTCAAAGACATTCTGTAAGCATCTCCCTACATTGCTATTGCTTTTTCACTTTATTATTTCTATGAAGTCTAATGCCATTTGAGGGATTCTTTAAAAAAACAAAAACCACAAAACTTCCCCTTTTCTACTTAGAAATCACCATCCCACAAAACTTTAACTTGTCAAATGTTGTCAACTCAACATGGCTGCTTTTCTGCCAGCACGGTTGCCTAACAGCCCCCAGTTCTAGCTTATAGCCTGGGAGGTGACTTTTGCTTTGACAGTAGACACTCTAACTTACGAAGACCAGGATGTTACAAGCCAATGCTTGCCTAGAGTGAATGTCAATGAGAAACTCAAGGGGGCCGACTAGCATGGTCTAATTCTGAATGATGTTCCAGTTCAAATACACTGCTGTGCATAGCAAAGGAAATGGAACTTTGAAATGTTAGACTTCAAGTCCTAGTGAAGACGGGTCGCTTAAAAGAAATCCCACACTAGCTCAAAATTGAGAAATAAACGGTTATTTGTTTAGGGGTAAACTCAAAAATCAGAATCCTCTTCTGGAACAGAGATTAGAAAACCGAAATTCGCAACAGGAACAGAGGGAGAGGCCGGAAAAGAGAGCAGAGGCAAGCTCTGCATCAGCATATGTAAGAGGCCATGCCAGGACAGGTTCCAAAGCAATGAGTTAGATGGGCAACTCCTTGTTTCCATGTTTGGAAACATCCCTTATTATTCTGCTGTATACTATCTATACTACACATCTGACTTTTTGCCAGCAATGAGAACAAGGACGTCCAGTATATCACTGTCACTCTGAGTACTACATCCAAAACAGGTACCTTACCTAGCCTGACTCAGAACTTAATTTTCCACATCAGCTGCCTCTGAAGACTGATATGTTACCTATGAGAGAACAAACACACTAAACTTCTGAGAACTTATTTATGTAACTATCAGATTTGGGAAGTAGCCTGTGTGTGGTCTATGTGTTCACCCACCAAGACAGTACAAGTGCAGCTCGGGTCTGTGTGTACGGACAGTAAGCTAGGGACAGACACAGAGGAGCACTGAGTGAATGTCAAGACTTGTCCAGACCCCATAACCTCAAGCAGGTCCCCAGTCACAGCTGTACCTGGCTGTCTGTAGACTCGGTGGGCTCCTCAGGACTCCGCAGGGTTGAGTTTGGCGAACTCTGATCCAGCTCTAAACTCTCCACAGTGGTTTCGTTTTTCCTTTTTCCTTTCTTCTTTCTCTCCACTGGAGTTGGTCCTTGCTCCTTGCTATAAGACATTTAGAATTAAAACTGTTGGGCAGTTTTAAAAACACATGATTAAAGTTACAAAATCATACCCTGGAATTCTAGGACCAACATGGACTTTAATGGAGAATCTGTACTTATTGTGCCAGAAATGTGCAGAAACATGGGGAGAAATATCTGCATGGACAGAAACATCTGCATGGACAGAATTCACTTCATTCACCCTGTGATGACTGCCATGGTATGATTAATGTTAAAGGACAGAATATGAATTTCCCTAAATCCTCACTTTGAATTTAAGCCAACATCATTAATTAGTAAGTGTGATGGCTTTACAGACATTAAGAATCATCAAATTACAATATCCTTTTAAGGTACATGGGAAGAACGACCTTCTTTTTTCTTTGGAGTATGTTTTATATAACGGGTCGGAATGAGCACTGGAGACTTAAGCACTGCCCTTGCCGTTTTGAGCGCTGTAGAATTACCCGACACCCACATGAAAGAAAATGCTCCCCATAAGGAGTGGCTCTACCAGGAGGTGTGGCTTTGTTGAAGGAAGTGTGTCACTGTGGGTGTGGGCTTTGAGGTCTCCTATGCTCAAGCTATACCCAGTGTCAGTTTGCTTCCTGCTGCCTGCAGATCAAGATGTAGAACTTTCAGCTCCTTCTCCAGCACCACGTCTGCCTACATGCCGCCATGGCCCACCATGATGACATGTATTGTAAGTCACCCCAATTATATAGATATAACATTTATAAGAGATGCCATGTTCATGTGTCTCTTCACAGCAATAGAAATCCTAACTAAGACACAACCCAGGGTGTTAAATGGAAGATTCCTGAGAGGTAGGCAGAATATCCTGTAAGAACCCACCAAGACCCTGACCTTCCTATATGGTAAATTCTTTCTTACATTTGACAAACATGTTGGCAATGGTTAAGTACTAAAAGTCTGCTATCTCACCAGAGTCAGTCACTATGACACCATGATTAGAACTCATCTACCTCATATAATGCCCAGATCCTCTGCAGATGGCTCAATAAACATTCCCTATATAGACATTTTATACACCTCCGATCTCTTTTATCCTTCCTAGAGGATCTCATTAGGTTCTGTATTCCTGTGTAGTCTTATATCTTATACCACACAGAAAGCATTCAATTAATATTTAAGCAAGTCTTTAAAAATTTACGAAATGGATAGATGGCTTCATTAATGGATGGATTGTTTGTGGGGATAGAGATGGCTCAGCAGTTAAGAGCACTAGGGGCTTTTCCAGAGGACCCAGGCTTGGTTCCTAGCACCCACAGGGAGGCTCACGACTGTCTGGAAGTTCAGTTCTAGCGGACCTGACACCTTTTGCTGGCCTCCAAAGGCACTGCATGCATGTGGTGCACAGACAGTGCAGGTAAAACACTCGTATACATAAATGACTTTAAAAAGATTATTTATCGTTGGGCATATCTGGAAAAGTTTACTTGAACAAAGACACACAAAAAATTCTGAAAGAAACTCAAGAAAAAAATCAGTAAGAGTAACTAATAATGATTGCAGATGTATTACATACACTGAAGTACTGAAGGCCCAACTCTAAGTCCTCTATGCGGATTATCTCCTTTAACCCCTACAAACTATCAGGCAGAAACAGTTTATTCTCATTTTATTGTGAGGAATACGAAGTATACTGAGACTAAGTGAAATTTCCAGAGTTTCGAGGCTAGAAAGCAGTGGAGACAGAGTTTGAAGGCAGGAAGAATCTGTACATTCTTGGAGAGCCGTCACGCACTCTTGGGTAATAAAGAGCTGTGTGGCTAGACGACAGTTCTAGGGCACAGAGACTACATGAGGGAGCTAAAGGGAAATTTAGAGCGCACTTGGCCAGAGAGTTTAGACTTGACCCTGTAGGTGAAGGGAAGTGATGGCAAGCGCAGCCAAGAGACAGAAGACCTGTGCTAGATATAGCCAATGAGTGTTCAAGGCTAAGAAAGATTCAAAAGGCCCAGAAGGAGTAGCAGCCGTGAGTTCAGCAAACGACAGGACATGAAGGTCACTGCTGGTGTTTTCCATTAGGAGAACTAGCTGACATTAGGAGAGAAAGGGGTGAGACAGGACAGGACTGGGCAAAGCAAAGTCACTCCATTTTTGAAAACTCAATGCTAAAGACTGGTCTGTTTACCTACTGTGAAAGTCCACAACAAACTATTCCAAGTCAAACCAAGGATGAAAATGGAACTCAATCTTTATAGAGGATAATAGACTTTAATAAGAGACTTGTACCTTCGAATGGTTAAAAACAAAAACAGCAAAAAGTTCTACTTCTAAATTTTTTAAGATTCTAAACTTTCACAAAACTCATATTTCAAGTTACAAAGTTTCTCATTAAAAAGTCACACAGTAAGTCGGGTGGTGGTGGCGCACGCCTTTAATCCCAGCACGCGGGAGGCAGAGGCAGGTGGATCTCTGTGAGTTTGAGGCCAACCTGGTCTACAAGAGTTAGTTCTAGGACAGGCTTCAGAGCTACAGAGAAACCTTGTCTTGAAAAACTAAAAACTAAAAACTAAAAAAAAAAAAAAAAAAAAAAAAAGTCACACAGTATTCATTTCCGCTGGTAAAAATACTCATGCTCTGTTCAACTCAGTGAAGAGAGCCACAACACACAATCCTTATATTCCAGACTGACCTAACACACAATCCTTATATTCCAGACTGACCTAACACACAATCCTTATATTTCAGACTGACCTAACACACAATCCGTATATTCCAGACTGACCTATAAAAGCAGCAAAGGTCCTACAGCTAGTTGTAGGACAAGGGCTGACACTCAGGTCACTGTTTTATCAAAGGACATAATATTTACTGACTCAATTTTATTCCTTCAAAAAATATAAAATATATTTTAAAATATTCTACTTTAGTACAAAATAAAAATAGAACCTCTATTACTTGAATCTTAATTACTAAAAGATTCAATAATAACACTCTAAAAAACCCAAAGAAAAATCTAACCCATAGTTATTTGTGATTTTACTGCTGTCTTAAAAAAGATTTCATGCTTGACTGACACAAATTTAAAGGAAGCTGATAATATTCCCAAAGTCACCATTACAAACACATACTCAGAGATCTGTTGAATATTACATAAAATCTTGAATTTTTGCTCCCAACATCTGAAATTTATTTCATTTATTAAATGCAGCTTTATTTAAATTTTGTCCAGATGTTTCTCTTCATTTTAAACATGTATTTATAAAGCAATTGTGTATATACATATGTGCAAAATTATACTAAAAGCTAAAAGAGGCTCAAATCAAAATTAAATAGAACCTCTTTACAATAGGCTATTTTACTAGGAGAAATGAATGCATGGGAAGAAGGAGGGTAAAGCACTTCCAAAGGTTAAGTTGGGCACCTCTAGAAGTTGGAGGTGAAGCTGGAAGAATATTTTGCAAATAGCAAAATGTCTTCTCAACCTTCATGTTTATTTGGGGATAAATAAGATACTCCATCAAGAGAATCTTCAACATGATTTTCTATGTTACCTTTGACAAAAAAAAAATCAATTTTAAATTGTAAATTTTTTCCAGAACTCTTCTGATAAAGACAAATATGAGGAAGAGATCCCTGGTAAGCTGGAAATAGGATTTCTAAATAGGACATCAAGAAAACACCATCCCCTGAATTTATCATCCAGGATGACTCTAGTCAAAATGTACTTTCCCTCTTTGTAGTCAAGTTTTAAAAACCCGAGGTTTGGAAGTTTATCAGCAGAAACATTTTATTAATAATTTCTACATTTCTATTATTTCTAGATAGATTTGGTCCATGAATACTGGTTTGCTCACTGTCAGGTTACTTAACATAGCGACTGATAATAGTTAATAGACTCACACAGTGTTCACTTCCATATAAAACTGCAATGATAAAGACTAGCACAGTCCCCGTGCATAAATTAGTGAAGCATTCCATACTTTAAAAAGCTAGAAAAAGATCAATTACATCCAGCTATACCACACTAAAGAATTCTTCTATATTCTACTATAGAGATAATTAATTCATCCATGTTCACTGCTGCTCTATTTACAATAACTAAGGAATGGAAGCAGTGTAGATGTCCATCTGCTGAAGAATGGATAAGGAAATGGAGGGGGGTTCACTTGAGTGAAGTCATCGAAGTACAGAAAGATAAATATCATATATTCTATTTCACACGTGGATCCGAGCTTTGAATTTTGTTTGTTTAAACTGGGGCATGTGTGGAAGTCAGGAAGCTAAAAACAGAGTCATGAGGTGGGCGACTACAGGGAGGGGTAGTAGAACCTAAGTGGTTCAACGGAAAGTAGTGGGGAGGTTAAAGAGGGAGGAAGGCTGAGAGAACAAAGGGGGCGGGAGATAAACAGCTAATATTAAAGATGTTTTTAAAAACTACATAAAAACTTACACACACACAGTCTTTCTCTTTGTACACATACATATACATGCTATGCACATAAACATGCATGTGTGCACATGTGCACACACACACGTGAGGGCACGTGCGCACACGGAAAGCTTTTTTCTTTCAGTAAGTTTTACTAATAGGGTACCCTAACTGTAGGATAACATTCCTCCCGAAAGCAACAGATAATTAAAAAAAAAAAAAAAGTTAGTTCAGTGCCAGCTACGCAATAGGGCCCTTCTTGTAGCTGGTCAAGAGGGATCTCAGAGACCCTCCTCCACAAACAATACAGACTGCTGCCACTGCTCTTGGTTGCCCATCAGAACTTGATGGTAAGACTCTATTGCTGAAGACATCACCTGTTTTGGTCACAAGATATGGAGAAATCAAGATGATACTGCCCTGAAGCTTTTTCCCTGCTAGATAACTTTCAGATTTTTGGAAGGGGCTATGCAGATGCTGAGAGAGAAAAGTTATTAGCAGTCAGTCTTACCGGCTATAAACCCTGTGAGCTATACAATAATGACCAACCTGGCAAGATAAGCCCACTAGTGCAACAGTGACATGGATGTTATAGGGAT